CACAGTCACGTAATCACAGTCACGGACTCCGTCCCCTGCTTGAGGGACAAGAACTCCTGCACCAATCGTTCCCTCTCCACCGGGGGAACATAATCATCTCGGAACATGGTGGTGAACCTCTCCCAGTTCACCGTTGTAATCTCTGTAGGAGTGAAGTCTGCCGTAACAAACTTCCACCAGTCCTTCGCTCCCAAGCGAAGCTGGTTCAGCGCGAACCGAACTCTCAGATGCTCCGGACAAGAACAGGTGTAGAAGCATCCCTCAATGTCAGAGATCCACCTCATCGCGGCTATCGGATCCTGAGTCCCATCAAAATCTGGTGGCTTCGTGTTGCTGAACTCTCGGTACAACAACGAGTCACCCCCCTGTGGCCTGGCAGCGGCGACGACTGCGGTGGCTGCAGCAACAACAGCCTCGGTAAGAGAAGCATACCGCTCGTCAAACGTCTCAATCAAAAAGGTCTTGATAGACCCAAACATCTCAGGAATCTCCGCTCGTATGGCTGCGGCCACCTCCTCGTGAATTAACCTACGAATCTCCTCATCACTGGTACCATTGGTACCACTGCCCCCTGGGTGGTGGCGCGTCCCAACCATGATGTCTCTGAAATACAACACAAAAGAAGTTAGAGACTCACTCGAGTATACTCGCACTCGATACTCAACCCTACTTGTTCTTTAGTACCCTAAGGATTCTTACTTGGACTGCTCACCGATCCGGTGTTTCCAGTAGTACGGGCCCTATACTACCTTCCACAATGCATCGGTATGCACCCCAAGTCCTCCTCCTAGGATCCCAGATCACAAGTACTCTATATCTCACTAAACTCGGCTACCCTCCAGTAGACCACTCATAAGCTCATCGCTGCTACCTACTCACTCTAGAAGTATCTCATAGTAGCAGTAACTCCTAGGCTAAGGCATCACAAATCAGGCCCACTCTAGTCCTAACTATGAATACCTAGCCTAGTTTTAGCATGCATAGCATATCACATAATATCTCATAACACATAATGTAAGGGTATTTTGGGAAATCATCGTTCGGGCGCTGGCGGATTGTACACACTGCTCCGTTCTGCGTTTCTCAAAAATCTTTTTCTCTTTTTAGAAAAATTATTTCTTTTATGCAAAATTTCTCAAATCCTCAGTTTGAGTTCAGATACGCCCGAAGGTGCATCCGAATCCCTCAAACCAAGGCTCTGATACCAACTTGTAACGACGTAAATTTTAAAACAAATTTTCATTTTTCCACATAATAAAACTCATATAATATTCTCAAAATCTCATGTATCAAATGTCATCATAATAAAACATATCCCAGAATCTCAAAACATAATCCTCTGCCAGTGTGTACAAATCATGCCGGCGCCTTCCTGCGATCCTCGCTGGTACCTGAAACACATATCACATAACACGGTAAGCATAAATGCTTAGTGAGTTCCTCTCAAAATACTACATACAACACATAAGCCACTCGAGGTTGTAACTCGGTATGACCCTCCGGTCAATGTGTCTCAGCGGGACCCTCCAGTCCCGTAGCTCGTTGGACCCTCCAGTCCGGTCTAGCTCGTTGGACCCTCCGGTCCGGTCTAAATCGTTGGACCCTCTGGTCCGGTATAAATCGTAGGACCCTCCGGTCCGGTCTATATAACACATAGCATACATATATCACAAAGCACATAAACTCAACATACACATAACACATAAGACCCTCCGGTCTGCACATAGTTACCACTCTAGGTAATGTATAGTGAGAAGACTCACCTCGGGTAATCTCAGAAAGTCTCGAACTCGAATATCTGATCTAGCCTCCGCCTAATCACATAAAGTAATTATCTCTAATTAATACGGCTCTCAAAGGCTAGACTAGTCCCTCCCTATATTCTCTCAGAAGGGGAAAAGACCATTTTACCCCTCCAATGGTCCAATGTCCAAATGTTGACAAACCCTAAAAGTCAACCCCCAGTCAACGGTCCAACTTTGACCAGACTCGTCGAGTGCACTCGGGTGACTCGGCGAGTCCATGCGTGTCCTCTGAATCCTCCTAAGGCCTCACTCGACTCGTCGAGTTAACCTTTCTCTCGACGGGTTACCACTGATCACGAATCGTGGTGCAACACGATCCGACTCGTCGAGTCCGCTCATGGACTCGGCGAGTTTCTTCCATGAGAATGCTCAAACGACCTTCTGAGGTCAGATCTGTTTCTCTAACTTATAGATCTGGCCTTCTAACACTCAAAAGTTACGTAAAGGTCCAAACTTTATGCTTATGCAACACTCATATGGCTGTATATGATGAATTAGCCCTAATATGACAACCATGTTCTAAAACCCAAAAAGGAACTGCATAAAGCTGGATGTTTGGGGCTCTCTGGACCTCTTAAGGTCCAGATCTAAGGTCTATTTCACATTGGGACCTCTCATGCTCTTATTCCAACTCAAGAAAGGGTAAAGAAACCCTTGATTCAAGAAGCCTACACAAAAAAGAAGAAAAGGGCCGAATTGCTACCTCAAAGTGAAGCCTCCTTGCTTGAAAGTCTCAGAACAACAACCTCCTTCGGTCCTTCTTGCTGGATCACTTCTCCTCCTTAGCAAAATCACAACAAATGGTTCAAGATGGCTCTCTCTCTCTCTCTCTCACTACACACACTCAAATATGCTAGGGTTCTTTTCTCTGAAAGTGTGGCCGCAAATGAAGGCCATAAGGTCCCTTAAATAGGGCACATGCCCAAAGATTTAGGGTTTCTGTCCACAACGCGGACTCGTCGAGTCGACCCTCTGACTCGTCGAGTCCATTCATTAATCCTAGTCAGCAGTCGCGATCCTACTCGACGAGTCTAGGCGTCAACTCGTCGAATCCCTCTTCTTGACTCAAAAATAAATACTCAATTTATGATACCTGGAAATCCGGATGTTACAACGCCTGACGTTCTTTGCCAAACGCCTGGCGTTTGGACCAAAGACCTCATAATCGGTATGTTACAATGCAGATATCCCAATGATATTAGACAACCCCCCACCCCCTAGGGTATGTCACGTGAAAATTGGGCGCAGACAGTCGAGCATTTTCAAACGCCCGAATTTTTAAAGCGTTCGACGTCAAACAAAGAAGCCCGTGCAAAACAACAAGTTGTAAACAGATGGGGTCGAGCTCGTATAGCAATGTCTGTTTCAAAGAAGTAAGTTATGATATATTTAACTGTTTATTTAAAGTATAATTAATCTAATTTCTAATGTTAAATAGGATATCACTCGAATCAAAGCATTTCGTAAGGTTAATACCAATCGCCAATGGGTATTTAGTAGTCCTGCAGTCGAGCAACAATACATAAGTGGTTAATTTGTATTTTCATATAAGTGTTTAAATCGCCAAGGGGTATTTAGTAATCTTATTTTTATTATGTTTATCATTTTTTGAAAATACAGAATGCTTTACTCCAGGAGATCAATCAACAAATCCAAGCTTCTTCTGAAGCAAGCGGTCTAATACCTAGTGATATAAAAAATGTTTTGAAATAATATTGGGTGTTCGACGCGGACATATCAGAGGCATTGGGTGTAAACCTTCTACGGTTGTGTCTATGTACGATCAGGAACAACCGATGACACAACAACCACCACAATCATATGTAATTGTTAGTTTAAGTTGAAAAGTATAATGCTATAATGGAAAAAAAAGTAGGATGCTATAATGATATGTTTATAATTGTTTGTTTAATATATAGTACAGTGCTATAATGGAAAGTAGAATGCTATAATGATATGTTGGTTATGGTTTGATATGTTGATATTTTGTATTTTGGTATTTTTGGAAAGTACAATGCTATAATGGAAAAATGAAAAAAAAGTACAATGTTATAATGAATATGCAATATTGTGTATCATGTAGTTTGATTATAGTTTAGTATGTTGGTATTTTGTAGTTTACTAATTTTTTGGAAAATACAATGCTATAATGGAAAAATGAAAAAAGTACAATGTTATAATGTATATGCAATATTGTGTATCATTTAGTATAGTTATAGTTTGATATGTTTGTATTTTGTAGTTTGGTAATTTTTTGGAAAGTACAATGCTATAATGAAAAAAATGAAAAAAGTAAAATGCTATAATGTATATATTGTGTATGATGTATGTTTAAGTGTATTTGGAAAGTAGAATGCTATAATTATATGTTGGTTATAGTTTGATATGTTGGTATTTTTTATTTTGATAATTTTTGGAAAGCATAATGCTATTATGATATGTTGGTAATATATTTCGCTTTCTTTGTAGATGGAAATGCTGCAAACAATACTAAAGAACACGACCTGTTCTGCGGCACTGGAAGACTAGTTTCTCTCAATGTCGCCACAAAATGACAACAAAGGAAACGATGAGAGTGATAAGGACGAATAACTACCTTTTTAGGATTTTATGAAATGTGTTGTTTGAGTTAATATTTTGGATATAATATTGCACTTTGTTTGGAATGAATATATTGGACTGGTTGTGTACGGACTAATATTTTTGGATTAATATTTCTGCAAAATTAAAATTTTGTAGCAGTTTTTATGCATGTTATATTGTTTCTTATAATTTTAACGTTAAATAAAAAAAGGAAAATATTTTAGCGGCGACACTTAGGTATTAGTGGCGACGATGCATTAGCGGCGACATATTGGGCATTTGCGACGAGGCAACAGCGGCGACCCTTTTGTGGCGACAACCGCACTCTTTAGCGGCCACCGTGTCCCCGCTAATGATTAAGTTTCTTGGAGTGAAAATCAATGTTTTCATTATTTTGTAAATAGAAGAAAATAACATAATCTGTGTACATAGTTTTTTTTAATACTTTCATCTGTTTTCAAAAACAATGAAAACATTGGTTTTGTCTCTGAAATTATGAATGCAACAAGAACATTGTTGTTGTTTCCAATAACAATTCGTATTTTTATATATTGAATGTTTCTATATATCAGTATATATCACCTAAGCAGCGTCAAAACGTATCTCCAAACAATGAAGATTGCTTTTCTTCTATCGATTCATTTCAGTCTATTAATTTTCGTTCATTGCTATGGTGGGAACGGATATGATCCTCTTGAGAACGTTTTAAGAATCCAACGTTCTAAAAGATCAGTACATGATCCTATCAGAAACAAAGAGCTAAAAACCGAGTATTCATACTCACCCATATATGTGGGCCCTCAAGACGGGTTGAAAGATTTCGACAAGATATCATCTTTGCCAGGTCAACCAACTGGAACAGATTTTGACCAGTATTCAGGGTATGTGACTGTCGACCCAAACCATGGGAGAGCACTCTTCTACTATCTTGCAGAGTCACCCTTTAACTCTTCCATCAATCCTCTTGTACTTTGGCTCAATGGAGGTATTTATTTATTTATTTATTTTTTCATTTTTAAAGATTTTTTTTGTTCAAAAACTAACCTATGAATCGCTCCAGGGCCAGGTTGCTCCTCGTTTGGAAACGGGGCCATGATGGAACTTGGGCCATTTCGAGTCAATGCTGATAATGTAACCCTTTCACATAATAAATATGCATGGAACAATGGTAATTAACAATCATATATCTATGTATATGTTTCAAAAAAGAGCATTTTAATTTTTAATTATGTTATAACGATCGATTAACCTCTGCAGTTGCAAATGTACTTTTCTTGGAATCCCCAGCTGGAGTGGGATTTTCTTACTCAAATACATCTTCAGATTATGAAACCGGAGATATACAAACAGCAAAAGATTCGTATACATTTCTAGTCAATTGGTTAGAAAGGTTTCCAGAATACAAAACTAGAGATTTTTATATCACGGGAGAAAGCTATGCAGGACATTACATCCCACAACTTGCACAATTAATTGTTCAAAACAACAAGATCACTAATCAAACTGTCATCAACCTCAAAGGAATTGCTGTAAGTCAGAAATCCTGATGAGTAACTCTAAAGTTGATGATAATTAATGTTTCGAGTTGACATATTTTCAGCTTGGAAATGCATATGTGGATTCTGAAACAGAAAACACAGGAATGTACGATTACTTCTGGAGTCACGCGATCATATCTGATGAAATCCATGAAGGAATCATCTCTAACTGCAATTTCTCTGAGGCTGGAACCATAACAGAAGCATGTGAAGATTATCTAAGTCAGGCTAAAGCTGCAAGAAGCAACATCTACTTTTATGACATCTATGCTCCTTTATGTTCATCATCAAGCAACACCACTCCTTCAGTAAGCTCTTATCTAAATACACACACATCTGGAAATTAAATCTTGACATGAATTCACATGACTGGAACAGATATCAGAATTTGATCCATGCACGGGAAATTATATCGACTCATACTTGAACATAGCTGCGGTGCAACAAGCCCTTCATGTAAAACCGGTTTACTGGGAATCTTGCAAGTAATACTACTAATTAATCTTAAAAAGTTCATAATGTGAAAATCTTGAATCACATCATCTTGATCAATTTTTATAAATTTCTTCTATCCAAATATAGTGATTTCATAGGCATACACTGGAAGGATATGCCGTTTACAGTCTTGCCAGTGATTCAGGATCTAATGGCTAGTGGAATCAGCGTTTGGATATACAGGTAGAAAATCAAATGTTGTTGTGTTGTTGTGGATGCTTATCTGATTATAGCTTAAATAAAAACTAAAACTCATAAAACTTGCAGTGGAGACACAGATGGGAGAGTACCTGTGACAACGAGTAGGTATTCAATAGACAAACTAGAAACGTCAGTGGAGAAACCATGGTACCCATGGATGTATGAAGATGAGGTAGAAAGCCTTCCATTTAATCATCATTTTTATATTTCTTTAACTCAATTTAACAAAATGATGGGAGGGAATTTCTATTTGTTATTAAGGGATTTTTTTATAACTCACACACCCACTACTCTATTCAGGTTGGTGGATACGTTGTTGGATACCAAAACCTAACGTTTGTGACAATAAGAGGGGCTGGACACTTCGTCCCAAGCTATCAACCGGCTCGTGCACTTGCATTCTTCTCTTCCTTCTTAGAGGGAAAGCTTCCGTGAACAGTTCCCTCCTTCACATTCCTACCAATTACTAACTAGAGCTTTGAGAATAATGGGTTAAGAACTTAAGATTGATCTATATCATCAAGATTACAAATTCTAGATTTAGGATAAGATTACTTGGGATCTTTGTTGCCTCTACGTACGTACCCAGATTATGCTACACATGTAAATCCCTTTTATTGCTTGCCTGATTTATTCATGTTTGTTTTTCATCTTTTTATGAAGAAAATACAACCAACCATGGCATGAATTGATTAAGATAAAGTGGTAATGAAAAGCTCCCGACTTTATGTATATCCGTGGGAACACAAACGGATAAGTATGATGCTGATAAATATAATGATAGATACATATGATAGGAGCATTTCTACAAAGTACAAACAGTTGGTGTGCTGGAAAACTATTACCATGAAAAAGAATAACCATATGACCTCGTCTTAACCAAACCTAAACTGACAATTTAGTGGCGAATCTAGAACAAAAAGTTACGTAGTTCCTCATACAGAATTAGATAGGTCCTTTATATTTTTCAATACCAGAAGATAGGTCCTTCTATAAGTTTCTATATAATTTCTATAAAATATTAAAACTTAGGTAGGCCCTAGGACCCACCTGGAGTACATGTGGCTACGCCATGGTGTAGCCGGTACATGTGGCTACGCCATGGTGTACTGGGTTGGTAGGCCACGGTTGATTCTCCTTTTTAATGAGTTAATTCCATCTAGACAAAATTATATAAATGGTTCATGTGGTTTTCCATATTCGCAAGCTTTGTCCCAAACATTTTTTCGTTACATGGATGGTTTATGTGTTTTCAATTCCATGCACGGTTGGTCCCATAGCCAGATGAAATGACATTTCTACCCTTTATTTATTTTATCTTTGTATGTAACTAATTTTAAATTAAAAATAATAATAAATCCCTTCACCTCCCTCACCCCCAATAGCACTCATCTCCCTCCTATTCAATTTCTCCTCTCAGGTCGCCATACTCCCGCTCCATATCCCCTCTCTGTTCGTCGGTCATTTTGTGAGGTTAAAGAGAAGCACCACCATCATTGCTTCTTAGGAATAGGAGGTGGGGGCTTACAAGGTATCGGTGATATGTGTCTTGAGTCGGTGGAAGGAACCGGTGGTTCCGGTGATGAAGAGAAATGAGCACCACTATCGTTGCTTCTAACATGTTTCTTAGTACATAGCTTGTACTTTTGCTTCCCCTTTCAACTATAACCCTAAAAAAACCTAGTACTACATCTCGAGTAATCCAAGAATTGTACATAATCGTTTAATTTCTTTTTATTTGCTCAAAATTTGCAATTGCATATTTAATTCGTTGGTCGCCAAGTATATGTTTAATTCGTTTGTATTAGACTACACTTATTTGTATTACATTTGTATGTCATTTTTTATTCTTTGAGGGGTTTATATGTAATTATCTCCTCTATATAATGAGCATAACCCCCATGTCTTTTGACATGGAGATTCATTTACACATGGTATCAAGAGCCAACCCCTCCATTCCACTTCCTCATTAAACTTTCGATCCCTCCTATTCTCTTCTCTTTTCTTCGGTTTTCTTCTTCTCCTCTCACTGGAATTTCATCACCACCGCCGCCTCATCATGTCAACATCCAACCCCAATGATACCACCCTTCCCATGAATACCATCCTTCACCTCATCACAATCCGCCTCTCCTCCTCCACTAATTACCTTCTATGGGTGAATCAAATGACCCACTCCACTCCTCTCCTATCAACATCTTTTTGGCCATGTTGACGACTCTTCTAATGCCCCGCCATCATCTATTACGGTTGATAACAAGACCACAGTGAACCCGGAGTTTGCAGAGTAGCAAGTCGCGGACCAACGCGCCCTCATTTTGCTTCAAGCATCTCTCACCGAAGAGGCATTTTCTGAGGTGGTGGGTCTATCCACCGCCTGTGCGGTTTGGACGGCTCTCGAGTCTGCCTACAGAAACTCTTCTATGGAGCGGGTTCATAATCTTCGTGATCAACTCTGTCTCCTTTCTAAAGGTACCGCTTCTGTTTTGGATTATGGTCATCGTTTTAAGGCTATTTGTGATCAACTAGTGGCCATTGGTCACACGGTTGATGAATCAGACAAGTGCCATTAGTTTTTATGTGGTCTTGGTGGCTCTTTTGAATCCTTTTCTGTGGAGATTCCTTTGTCCCGTCATGCTCACATTTTCCGTGATTTGCTTGCCCAAGCCGAGGGGCATGAAATGTTTCTTACCTCGCTTCATGGTTCGTCGCCGTCTCCCGTTGCTTTCACTGCCGAGACTCCTCCCGGACGCACCTCCTGGGTTGTTGGGCGAGGTCGTGGGGCTCCTCGTGGTGGCGGCGCTCGCGGTGGTCGTGGCTGTGGGCGTCGTTCCCCTCGTTGCCAACTATGTCGTACCAATGGCCATTATGCAAATCAGTGCCCGCAACTGTCCTCGTTTGCCTCTTCGGCCCCCGTGAATGACATCGACTTGGTGAAAGCCTTTCTAGCCAAATGTAAGGTCAATATTACTCCCGACCCGGATTGGTATGTTGATTCCGATGCGTCAGATCATATGGTGTCTTCCTCGGGTTCGGTTTCTCAACCCACACCGTTCAATAGTGATGGCTCGGTTCAATTTGGTAATGGTAATACTCTCCCTATTTGATCTATTGGACATTCTTCTCTTGCTAATGGAATTCGGTTACGGAATGTGTTAGTGGTTCCCCGTCTCTCGAAAAATTTACTCTCCATTAGCCGGTTAACTTATGATAATGACATGGATGTTCTTTTCTCCAAATATTATTGTGAAATTCAGGATCGGGAAACGAAGCGGGCTCTAGCTCACGAACGATGTGATCATGGACTCTACATTCTTCCTAATAAACCGGTGGCGCGTGCTTTCTTTGCTCGGAATGGATCGAAGGCTTCTTTTAAGTTATGGCATTCCCGTTTGGGACATGTGTCGTTTGACACAATTTCTTTGTTAAATAAAGTTGGACTTGTTTTGGTGTCTTCTATTTTACCTAAACCGGTTGTATGTTCGCCGTGCCAACTAGCGAAATCACATCGCTTACCTTTTTATAATAATGATAAACGTGTCGCTTGTGTTTTAGATTTGGTGCATTGTGACCTTTGGGGCTCATCTCCGGTTACTTCGGTTGATTCTTATCGCTATTATGTGACGTTTGTTGACGATTTTCCCCGGTTCACATGGCTTTATCCGCTTAAGTCCAAATCGGACTTTTATATGGTGTTTGAGATGTTTATTACTTTTGTTGAAACGCAATTTTCCACTAAAATTAAAACCTTTCACAATGATGGGGGTACCGAATTTGTGAACAAAAATGTTAAAACTCTTTTGCAAAAACATGGGATTTTTCACCAAATATCATGTCCGTATACCCCACAACAATATGGGTGAGTTGAACGGAAACATCGTCATATTGTGGAAACCGGGCTCGCTATGATGTTTCACGGGTACATTCTGGCATCTTATTGGGTGCATGCTTTTAGCTCCGCTGTGTTTATTATTAATCGGTTACCTACCAAGGTTCTTGACATGAAGTCGCCATTTGAGGTGTTGTTTCATCGGGTGCCCTTATATGACACTTTCCGTCCTTTTGGCTGTCGCGTGTATCCTTATTTGCGTGATTATGCAGCTCACAAACTCTCTCCTCGGAGTATACCATGCATCTTCATTGGTTATCATCAGCAATATAAAGGCTATCAATGTCTTGACCTGGTTTCCTCACGCATCTTTATTACTCGACATGCCCGGTTCGATGAGACTTATTTTCCCTTTGGTGGGTTTTCCGGCGCGGCTCCCATGGCCTCTTTGCCTTTACATGAGTTTTTTGGAGACGTTCCCAGTATCCAGGTGCCCTCATCCCCGCCTATGGCTCCTCCAAGGTCGGCTGCCCCGTCTCCGCCCCCAGCTCCATGTGCAGTTTGCCCGGAGCCCGTTTCTGTCGCACCTGAGGTCACCGAGCCTCCACCAGCAGCCGCCGATTCCACCCCCGATGTCGATGCCGAACCGGACCTCACCGAGTCAAGCTCTTCTTCTTCCGACAACTCTTTTGGGCCCGACTCGGACACCGATCCCATTGATGAGTCTGCTTCAGCCCCTCCTGAGCCCGAAGTGCCGACGCCGACCCCTTGTCCTCACACCTCATGACCACTCGTGCTAAGGTGGGGATTTTTATCCCACATTATCGGGTTGATCTTGCCCACCTTCGGTCATGTGGTCTGTTATCGGCTGTGCTCTCTTCTCCGGATCCGGTTTCTCATGTCACTGCCTTGCGTGAACCTAAATGGTGTAATGTTATGCGCTCCGAAATGCATGTGTTGCACCACAATAATATTTGGATGTTGGTTCCTCGTCCGCCTCACTCTAATATTGTTGGTTGCAGGTGGCTTTTTCATACTAAGTACCCGGCGGATGGTTCTATTGAGCGGAACAAGGATCGTCTTGTTGCCCAAGGTTTTAGTCAGGTGTCGGGCCTTGATTTTTCGCATACTTTCAGTCCTGTTGTCAAAGCTGACACGATCCGTGTTGTTCTTTATCTCGCCATTATAAATGGGTGGCAACTGCATCAACTTAATGTTAATAATGCCTTTTTACATGGCAAGTTGGGTGATACAGTTTATATGCAGCAACCCCCGGGGTTCGTTGATACTCGGATTCCTAATCATGTTTGCAAGCTCAACAAAGCTATATATGTGTTGAAGCAAGCCCCGCATGCGTGGTTTCATCGGTTGAGCTCTTTTCTGGTCACTCATGGATTCTCTTGTAGTCGGGCTGACCTATCTTTATTTGTTTTTCACCGGGATCGCTGCATTCTTTACTTGTTGGTGTATGTGGATGACCTGATCCTCACTGGATCCGACACCTCCGTTATGTCTAGCTTTATTGCCAAGCTTCATGCTGAGTTCCGTATTAAAGATCTTGGGCGCTTGAGCTATTTCCTTGGCCTCGAGGCGACGTCGCTTCCAC